CCCCAAAACCCCAAAACCCCAAAACCCCAAAACCCCTATATAATTAAAATTTATTGAAAAGATGGATGATATAGATACCTACATTGAGACTATCAAGGAAGGAGGAATTCTTGAAGAGAACGAAGTGAAAGCCTTATGAGATAAATCAAAGGAAATCCTCATGGATGAGAACAACATCATTCAGGTTAGTGCTCCCTGTAATATAGTTGGAGATCTTCATGGGCAGCTTCATGATCTCCTGGAATTATTCAGGATTAATGGGGAGCCTCCTGATGCTAACTATGTTTTCCTTGGAGACTATGTAGATCGAGGCTACAATTCAGTTGAGACGATCCAGTTGTTACTCTGTTTGAAAGTAAAATTTCCAAGAAGGATTGTGCTTATTCGAGGAAATCATGAGACAAGACAAGTCACGAGTGTATATGGCTTCTATGATGAAGTCGTTAGAAAATATGGAAATGCCAACTGATGGAAATTAATCACAGAAGTATTCGATTGCATGAGCATTGCTGCTATCATTAACGATGAAGTTTTGTGAGTCCATGGCGGCCTTTCGCCTGAAGTCGAGACTTTTGATCAAATCGAGATGATTGATAGATTTCAAGAAATTCCTTCCAGTGGGTCATATTGAGACTTAACATGGTCAGACCCAACAGATGAAACAGATTCCTGGGGCATTTCTCCCAGGGGAGCAGGATATTTATTCGGAAAATCAGCCACTAGTAGATTTTGATACGTAAATAGAATAGGGTTTATATGCAGAGCCCATCAATTAGTACTTGAGGGATATCAATATTGGCATGATAACCAGATAATGACAGTCTGGTCAGCTCCAAACTATTGATACAGGTGAGGGAATCAGGCTATCTGTCTCAACTTTGATGAAGATCTTCGAAAGACCATAAACATTTTTGATGCAGCTCCTGAAAACAAAAGAGCTGTTCCCACAGAGAGTTTGATTCCGTATTTCCTCTAGCTTATTAAAAATAGTGACTTATTTTTCAATTCTTATGGCTGAAATGGGGTTTTGGGGTTTTGGGGTTTTGGGGTTTTGGGG